CCACTGCCATGGCAACTGCCACCACAAAGGTGGCTCACTGCCACACCAGCAGTCACCACTGCTTCATAGACAGCCCGCTGACCATTGGCATGTACAGAAGGACAGTCACCACTGGAATCCAGGGGAAGAGGTGAGCAAGTGCAGACCTGTGACCTAATGGCCCAATGCACAGAGAGAATTACATTGCCATACATGATAGCACACCTGGGGTGGAAAATTTGTGCAGAGCCCACAGGACTGTCCCCATCCAGGGAGAGATGCATGTGGAACCCCCCAAGATTACAGAAACCCAGGATACTCAAATACAGTAAGGAAGAAAATTCCCAACCACCACTAACCCGTTCTACAACCAGGGGAAGCAAGGCCCCAGGAAAAACCTCTACCTGTAGGAAAGAAGAAAGAGAAAACCTCTCAGCATCACCCATTCAAACTGAGGAGCACCAGTATATTCCCATACACCTGTCAGGGTCAGGGGGAGCTAACTGGGGTGCCATCGGGCCCTCCCAAGGTCACCCACCATACCCAAGAATGACAGGGCACAGATGCACTTCCCCCAAGAATTCAAGAGCTTGCCCATGTCCTGGTGAATCAACATAGCTGGTGTTGTTACCAACCTCAGCAAGGAATTACTAAGGCCCCCAGGGACTAGGCCATGAAGGCACTCACATGCAATTCCAACACTGAATTCAGCCAAAGTCCCCACACAGACACTGCCCTACTGTGTCTCTCTGGAACCAATACTAAAACACCCCACCCAATGGCCATTATAAAACTCATCGACAAGAGGAACTCCCTCTCCAGAGTACTAGAAAAACTAACTGCTCTACCAGATCACTAAACACCAATGTAGAAATTACACATATGAAAAAACAAGAAAATATGACATCACCAAAAGAATATAATTCTCAAGTACCAGACCTTATGGAGCAGGAAGTCCTTGAAATGACTGAAAAGGAATTCTGAGCAATGATCTTACGGAAACTCAGTGAGATACAAGAAGACTGTTAGATGACACAGTGAAATGAGAAAATGTATGCAGGATCTGAAGGACGAAAAGTACAAAGAGATTAATGCTTTAAAAAAGAAAGTATCCCTTTTTCCTTTTTTGCAACAACATGGATGAACCTGGAGAAACTTATGTTGAGTGAAACAAGCAAAGCACAGAGGGATAAATACCATATGTACTCACTCATATATGGGAGCCAAGAGAGAAAGGAAGGAAGGAAAGAAAGACCACAGTAGTGCTGTGATCCAACAGAGGGAGGGAACATTCCTAGGGTTACGAATAGGAGGGGGGGGAAGGGAAGGGGAGGGAGGTTGAGGGATAACTGGGAAGGGACATGGGGTACAAAAGTAATTTCTGGTAATGGGTATGCCCCCAGTATGAATCTGGCCCTCACATCATGGGCAGGAAGGGGAACAATTAGCTTTGTATCTCATGAATATTCTTAATAAATAAACAATAATAATAATAATTTTTTAAAAGAAAGTAGCAGAGCTCCTGGAGCTGAAGGATTCCTTCAACAAAATAAAAAACATAACCAAGAGCTTAAACAGTAGAAGAAAGCATTTCTGATCTTGAAGATGATCTTTTCAAAATAATCCAAGCAGACAAAAAAAAGAAAGAAAGAAAAAAAGAATTTTAAAAATGAAGAAAATCTAACAGAGCTAACAGACAATCTGAAGTGTACAAACATATGGATCCCGCGTGGTGCAGGAGGGGAAAAGAAAGGAAAAAGCACAGAAAACCTATTACATGAAACAAAAGCAGAAAACTTTCAGGAATAAGGAGAGACACAGACCTTCAGATATAG